TATATATATCATATATACAATCATGATTTGATATATCATATATATAATCATGATTTTCTTCTGTACTGATGGTACTAAATTATTCTCTCGTGTAGAAGAGTTGCAGGGACAATAATGGAGCTGGAACTACTGGTGATATAGATCCCCTCCACTAGGTACCACACTTACCTTAGAAGCTTCTGTTTTTGTTTGGTTGACAGTGATTTTAAAAATTCAACTTCTGGATCATCGTCTCCTTCACTTGCAACAAATTCCTAGGAAAAGTGTGGTAAGACATTAAGTTCTTATATAAAAATAATCCCTTTATTCAGATTTCTGTATTAAAGTGATGCCTTTCTGTACCTTATTTTTGCACACGCACAAACATATTTGTATTACTAAGTCAGGTTAAGATTCTTTGGAAACAGCAGCACACTCACTGCAAATGAAAAAAACCCCACATTCTGTCTCAAAGCTGAGTAGGTGTTATAATGTGGGGGTTACACAACAGGAGTTATTAGTAACATATGGAAAAATCACTGCTAGGGAAAAAAACATTTCTGAAATAGTTAATAAAAATGAGCCAATTTTGGAGCCCACATGATTCCCCAGGATAAGTCACTCCATTGTTACTGTGCTTGGATGAATACGTAAGATGCCAGTCCTGCTCAAACCCAGAGTAATTTAAGCAAATTACTTTTCTGTCTCGGTTTAGTCATTAGGAAAATGGGTATTAACACATCTACCTCACTGTTGTGTTATTAGTCTTTAAATGTTCATAAAGTGTTCTGGCAATGCAAAATACTGTAATCATATAATCTACATACAGTAACGCAATCAGCACAGCATAGCTACTTTGAAGACCCTGAATTCTTCAAATTACGTGCATCTGGTACACTACAGTTCTCCACTTGTGATGTTTTCAATTTTAGTCACACTCAGGAAGAGAAAGAAGAAATAAAGATTAAAAAGCTCTTCCAGAAAACCCCACCACACCTAACAAACCAAACATAGTGATACCACTGTGATTCATTTATGCTGCCCATATGCTACATTATTCTGGGGTACATAGCTTTTTTAAATGCAAAGGTACATCCATCTGTGGAGACACAATGAATTGTTGATTTACTCAATATTTTAAGACCAGTTGAGGGCTGTCGTCCCCTCTCTACTTCGACTTGGTCACCTGGTGGCTTGACTATCCTGTCAGATGAACAAAAGTTACTTTATGGTGGCTCACTCCAGGAGTGTATATGATTTTTTCACTTTACATTTTTATTAAAGCACCCCAATTACAAACATACCCTTGTGTGTGCAGTCTAAATAAAGAGAATTAGACATTTTAGCAATAGTCAATCAATTAAAAAAAATAATCTTCAGATATAGCATTCCTGGCACTAATTATTTGTGCACACTTCCTCAAACTTCATCGAAGCATTGCATCGGAAGTATGTGGCAAAAGCCCCAATCATCCCCCTTTATGAAAAATTCAATTTCTAGTCACCCAGAGAAGGGTTTTAATTTATTATATGTGGCTTTTAAAGAAGTAATTTACGATTCACCATTCTGACTGAAACAAAGCTGGAAAACAGTAAGTTTTTGGACATTTTTCTACTGGTATAGCTATTCAGCTTTCCTATGGATATGCATATTTAAAAATATTAAGTAACAATTCACAAGCAATCACATTTAGATTTACAGACATTTTCAGCTTACTGGTAAAAAGATCATTACCTGTGATGGATCATTTGCGGTCAAGTTTCTCCCCAGTACATTTTGTTTCAGTGCAAACCCACTGTTTCTCATCTCCGCTATTAGCTCCGAGGGGTGCATTGATGGCCCTGTTCACAAAAATCACAGTTTGAATATATCATTTATGTCTCTCTACCTTTTTTGGACTCCACAGTAGGAATTCAGTTGAAGCTTTGTTAAGTAAAATCACAGCTAAATCAACTCAATAATCTTCTGCTGAGCAAATAATCAGATATGATTTTCTAAAACAGCAGTCTGGAGATTCAGAATAGAAAATAATTGCATTTTTCTTTAAGTACAAGGGGATTCTCTTACGTAACTTTGTCATGTTGCAAAAAATATATTTAGATAAGTCTAGTAATATATTTTTATTACAGTAGAAAAGCACAGGAAACCTAAAGAAAGCAGATTAAGTAAGACTTTTAGGTGCCTCCTCTCCCTTAAACCAATGGAAAAATGCACTTCTAATATGTCACCATTAAGGTATATATACATACATACACACATAATGACACAAAATTTTGAACTTAAATGTAAAAAGTAACCATTATTAGAAACTCAGTATACATATGGAAAATGAATAAATACATGAAAAAAATTATCCATGTCCTTCCTTATTCTAGGGACCCCCAGATATGCTGGGTCTCTAGGCTGTTACCTTCTCAGAGATCTCTGTTTTATCAGCTTAAAAAATACACAATATATTGTATTAGAATCAGTGTCTGGGAATAGGCACATTATCTTTCTTTGCAAAGATCTAACAAGGAGTAAAATACAGGATATATTTTGGATCATTCAGACTTGACTGCATAATTTATAAACCCGGTAACTCACTCTTTCGCTTTAAGTGAATACCTGTGATCATCAAAAACTCCCCTACTTGTCTGATTAGGTACTTTTTCTTCACCCTAAACATACACTCTTTTGTTAGGTCACTTTCAGTAAATTTCCTTACCAGTTCATCCACTAATCTCACTGTCAATTAATTAGTACTACTGTACAAGGTAAATCTAAATTAGAAGGAACGTAAAACGGAGCATGGAGCATTATGATTACTTCAGTAAACTAACTGCAGATGGTAAGACTAACTAGTCTTATGAAACATACTGATCCTGCTTTGTGGTTTTAAGAGCTTCTTAGTTGTGGAGGTGGACAAAACTCACACACTTTTAACACAAAAAAGTATGGAAAATTAGACTTTTACTATGGAAAATATATTGAAAGTAAAATAGCACTTTCCAAAATATGTCAACTTCAACTTTTTATTGGTTTTCCTGTATAATGCACTGCCTACAGGCCTATATATAAAGCAGGAAGGAAGAAGATGAAACTTTGAAAATAGCTTAAGGAGCCCTTGCTTTACTGACTTTCTTTTCACAAGTTCCTTATTTTGCCACGCAAAAGAATTTTCCAACGAGATACCTTTTAGTCTTTCCTTGAGTTTACATTTTTATTAAGTAGGGGGTTATTCCTCCTCCCCTGTATATTTTACTAAAAGTGCTTTTTCTTTACATGTTACAGTGCAATTGTAAGCTCACTGATCACTAATGAATGTGTATGGGCTTCAGAGTGTACATTTTTGCTTATTTCAAATTTAAAACCTTGCTCTGCTTGCCCAAATCTACTCTGGCTGGAACAGAAACCAACAGAAACCTTATGACAGAATTTGGTACCAGCTGATGTCTTGATTTTAAAAGGCCACATAAAACATCCATACAATTCAGTCAAATACCCTGTACGAGGAAGCTGAATGGAGACAAAGTGTAGAGTCATGAAAGATTTCACCACACCAAAGAAACCAAAATATGTGACTAGACTGAAGCCTGGAACACCCCTATTTTTGAAAGGCAATAAAAGTCACTGCCTAACAAAGTAACCTAACTTACCAGGTATTCCCCCTTCAGTGTCTCAGCATGGTACACATTTTGATGTGTACTGGATACATAATTATTCCCATTAGCACAGTTAGATAAACAGAGGAATACAAGTTGTCCAAATCCGTACAGGAGATTTGCAAAAGAACTAAGACAGACACCCTCACTTTGTGGTTCCATATGAGGATTATGGGCAGAATCAAGACCAGAGAGGCACGAAGGCATATAGGCCTCTTTCGGGCATTCTTTGTGCATAACACTGAAAAGACATAAGCAAAATAATTTCCTCTTTTACATAAAAAGCTTATGAATGCACCGTACTACTGACTTTTGTGCACTTCTGCCCAACGGATGCCAGTTGTGCTGTAACGCACAGAGCAATACAAGTGAGCAAGAGGCTTGTCTGAGTGGCTGCCCAAGCTAGGATCCAACACACAACCGCAGGCAAACTTTCAAGTTAGCTTCCATATGCTTTTTAAAGGTGAAATCAGCACTAGGTTTTAAAAATAAAAACACAGGTAAGCTTAGAAGGACAGCAAGCCAAGCTAAAAATAAATTTATATGACTTCTGCTTCCTTATTAATGACATCAAGGAGACATTCATAGCCTCATCTACAATATTTTTGTCACAACATGGTATTATCATGACAAATCACTGTTATTCCTGTTTTGTGTATGTATACAAGCTACATCAAATGTACCTACAGAACTTTGAGACTGAAGTGGTTTATGAAATGAATGATTCCTGTTTTGGTCTCCCTTTAATTGTGAAGGAAAGAGTAATTTAGGTTCAGCCTAGCTTGTGCAGAGGTGCAAGAATCTCAATGAAAATTAACCAACACCATAAACGAAATTAGAGTCAAACCACAGCCCTATTTCACAACCCTTCTGTGTGCAGACCCCAGCCAGGCGCGACACAAGCATGCTGTCCACTCTGGTTGATTATGAAGGACTCTCTTGCACCATGTGATTTTTGCAGTTCAAAAAACATTTACATTTTTTGAGACGAATACACAGGTGAACTTGCTCACACTTTTTTTCTGAACTGATGCCACTTAACTTCTCTGTAGTTCTGCTGCCCAATGACAGCAAGACCACATCACTACCTTTGTTCAGGTAGCAACGCCTAGACTACAGTGGGGAGAAAAAAATATCTGATCTGGGAAGTCTAAAGAGACTGTTTTCTATCTGGTCAAGTCCAGGCTGAGAAGTTCAATTAAGACATTATGTTTGACAGTGGCTGCACAGCTTAATAGCAAACCTCTCTTACTATCTACTTTCGGCAACACAACAAGAATCAAGAAAATTTTTATTCTCATAATTAAACTCCTTTGCTTGGAAGCAAAGAAATCGAATGCTTGGTGACTTTCTTCTTCTATCTATTCCTCAACAGATTGCTTTTGAGTTACACTTTAATGATTTTGACAAGCAGATCTGATATCCTTTGGGGTATCAGTGACAGTTTGAGGTCTTCAAGGATTCCTGAGCACAGCCATTTTATGTGACAGCACTGAGGCTTGTAACACACTTCTTTTTGGGCTGCTTCTTCACAGAGTCTTAACAGATTTAGATGCCTAAATATGTCAGGAAACAATTGCATTTCCACACTACAAAATGAAATAGGGCATTTATCCTGGCTAATACACATGAAGGAGACAAAAACTGTAAATGAACCCCAAATAACAAACCTCACTTAACAGAGGTCTGAAAAACTCAGTTTCTCAGAAGTATCCCTTGCTTCCTTATTAGGAGCTAAAGCTTAACATCTTGAAATCACCAGTATACTGGTTGATAGACAGCCTCTTCCTTTGTTTGGTGTGAATTGCTTGTGGAGTTCTACTTGTTGGAGACGCGACTATGCTCAGTGTGATCACACCTGGTTTGCTTGGTAAGCCAAGAGGTAAATCATCTCAGCCTGTCTTTGGCTGAGATGTCATCACCCTCCCAGATCTTCAGGCAAAACGGTACTAAGTAAAGACAGCCATATATCTACACCTGGTTAAGTTCCAACGAAGTCATAAGCTGTAAAACAGACAGTAAGATTGAACTGAGAGGCTCTCAGTTGGCTAAAATCTTGGGAACTGATGTTAGCTAAGTATTCCTGAACAACACCCATCAACTTGCAAAAACTCACTCCTACATCAAGCACAGAAAAATACTTTGTGTACTATGAAAACTGATGTTTTCATATATGCACCCCTTATGAACTTGTGACACAGTCTGTGAAGAAGCTACCTGTGTGATCTCATGCAGGTGAAAACATACAGAGATGACACTATGCTATGAGTTGACAGAATATTAGATACAGGAATCTTGTAAAAATAGCTGATTGCTATGGCTTCTGACAACTAGTCTCCCAGCATTCTTCCATCAGCAAACTAAAAATAACTTCAAAGTTACAATGTTTCATCATCTGTTTCTTATTCTATCTGAAAAAAGTAAAATACAGTACCTTGCTATTTTTAATACGACTGTCAAGCTTATTTTCTGGAAATTACATTTTGTTAGGAAAAAAAAAAAAAGAAAAGAAAAAACCTTTAAAACTTATCTCAATGACACTTGTTTAAAACAAAAATATTTTTATCTGCTTTAAAATTAATTCATAGTCTAGGAAAAGCTTTTTACCATATAGTGGAATTAACTGCATGCTGATATCATACTTATTTTTATGCATTAAGACAGCTGACAACTTGTCTTCTACAGCTACTTAGAATTATATTAAAGGCTTGCACAAAAGATGCTCCACAGTTCAAAGACTCACCAAAGGATTTTTAAAATATTTTTTCATGGCCTTTATAATTCTCAAGATATAGTGTTGTCAGGCAAGCAGGCAACAGTTTCTTCCTGCTTCTTACTTCCCACGGAAGTTCTTGCTGCATTAATTCTGTTATCTCCGGTTTAAAATACTATTTAAGGAAGCAATCCAGATAGCTCAGTTTACTCAAAGAGTTGGGGAACAAAATCTGGAAACTCAAACCATTCAATGAGGTGTGAAAAGAAGGATTTTAGTCTTCACAAAGTACAACCTGAGAGCAACCATAGCTTGACAGCTGCTGGCGCATCTTTATAATATTCATACAATTAAATAAACAGAAGTGCTGTAAACAGAATTTTTCTGAAGCCTATATGCGCATCAAAATTCATACAATTAAATAAACAGAAGTGCTGCAAACAGATTTTTTCTGAAGCCTATATGCGCATCAATTATATTGGAT